CAGGCAAGTAGTACCTCTTTTGAGGGTCCTTGGCATCACCCAATACAAGCTAGTTGCCTTAAGTAGGGCTATTCATAACAAGACCTAAACCGACCAACTCGGTCCGATCCAACCCGAGTTGGCTGGTTTTTTTTTATCATCGGTCGGTTTTGGGTTACAAAAAACATAAACCGATAGTTCGGTTCGATTTCGATTTTTATGTGTAAAAATCGAAACCGAACCGACTTAGATATATTATATATATTTCAGCTTTATTTCAGAAATATACATATTATATATAAAATTTCTGATATATAAAATATCAGTTTTAATCCATCAAATCATTTTTAATTTCCAGGCATCCAGCCTTTACTTTCTTAGACTTGAATCCTTTACCGTTCACACCGAGAGAATCATTCATAAAACCGACCCAAACTGATTCAAACCGACCAGGTCGGTTTTACTTAGTACTGGGTCGGTTTCGGTTTCATTTCTAGGTAAACCAACCAGGTCGGGTCGATTGGAAAAATGCCAATAAACCGACCCAACCCGACCCGGTAACAGCCCTAGCCTTAAGAAAGTGCAGCCAAAGACTTTGAGCCACCTGGCAGTGGATAAAAGGACGATCAGCACACTCCCACACCAACCCACAAAGCCCATACAAGCTATCTTGAATCTGCATACCCCTTCTTGCCAAAGTTTCCCTTTTTAGACACCTACCAAGCACAGCTGACCAAACTAGGAAGCCTACCTTAGAAGCAATCTGAAGTTACCAAATCAAACTGCAAGGGAATAGAGCCTTGGTCCACAGAGGTTTATCTCATAGGATCTGACAGAAAACCTACCACTGTTCTCCTATTTCCATCTCCATTTATCAATCTGAAGTTACCAAATCAAACTGCAAGGGAATAGAGCCTTGGCCCACAGAGGTTTATCTCATAGGATCTGACAGAAAACCTACCACTGTTCTCCCATTTCCATCTCCATTTATCAACCTGCCTAGGTCTCACAGAGAAAGTAGAAGCAGAAAGAAGATAGCTAATTTGTACTCAGTTCACTTGCAAACAGACCTACACATACATATTAATTAATCAACTGTAAAACAGAAAGAGAATGACCTGATCTCTTGCAGGTGAATGATCTGAACCAGATGAGTGGTGGTGATGGTGTAGACTTCCGAAGTCCTCCCTCTCTCTCCCTCTATTTTCTCTTTTCCGTGCCCTCCCCCAATGCTCCAGTTACTCCCACTGTATTCGTAGTCCGACCCCTCATATTGTCCTCTGTTGGGAAACTGTTAAAAACTAGATTGGACTCAGAAACAGTATTTTGGGGATTGTCCCTGCGTTCCTATACTTTAGCTTGGTTTGCGGTTCTTGTTGGCATGGCAGGTCAATTGACAAATCTTGGTATAGTAACATGGATGTCTAGTTGTGTGGCCAAGTCCCTTCAGTCATTGTCATTGAGCTGGCCAGATGCATTTGGTATTCTCCAGGCAGCTTATTTCTTCATCCACTACTTATTTACAAGTCAGACTGGTCATGTAGGAGCTCTGTTCTCTGCATTTCTTGCCATGCACTTGGCATCTGGAGTGCATGGTGTGTTGGCTGCACTGGCTTTGGCATACAACACCAATCTCTTTGGTGCATTAACACATTATAGCAGTGGTCAGGCATACAACACCAATTCACTTGTTAGATGATGTTTTACTGTACCTGAGCATAATTTGAAACTTTGAATACTGATTTCATTTGAATACTGATATTTCTCTTTGTTTTTTCCCAGTATAAAATATATTGAATTAAGTTAATTATTATATTATAACTAAGCATAAAATCCATCAAATTGAAAACTTCATAATTTAATAAAACCCATCAAGACAGTGGAATTTGGGCACCCCGTTTCCATTGGTCCCAAACTTAACTAAAGAAGAATATATTTGTTCCAGTGCTATGTATTCTTTTTGTTAATTTCTCTACTTATCCAAGAGGAGCAGCGGAAAAAGAGCAAAAATGATGCTTGTGATTCTTGTTTCTTTTTACTGCTTTCTGTCAGGTGTTTTCTGTCTTCTTGGTATCCAGTGGTTATTATTTGTGATTTTGTTACCTAAAGCTACTCCTGAACTTGGGAGGGGATGGTGAGCCTAATGAGACACAATGGAGGGTAGCCCATCCCCCATACCAACTGGGCCATCATTAGTTGTTGATATGAAGTGAACATTATTGAAAACATAGAACAGAAAGAAGGGCAACGATTCTTCTTCCCTCTTTATCCATGAAAATCTCTGTAATTTTATTAGAAAGAAAAGCTTAATTTTTCATTGTTTTCAGAGATTTGGGATGCACTTCGAGCAGCTGCAGAAGCTGATTTGACCCTTGCACAAGCAATTGTGAACAGTGCAGGTGTCATTGTTACAAGTGCGGACTTGACAACCTGCTATGACGAAAGAAGTGCTTTGTTTATTTTGTTAGCTGTAGATTCTTATTTCTATGTGCCCCATGTTTTTTGGGATTTGTTTCTTACAGAGCTTCCCTTGCAGGTGCTAAATATGAATTGCCCAAGTATGTTTTGAGTGAGCCAACCAATATGATTCGCGACAATTGACAACAGAGAGAAAGGCTGATCACCATGCTTCAATAAAATTGAATGTAAATCATGTAAATTACTCATTCTCCTTTGGGAAGTTTGGTGGCATATAGTAAACTTGTCACAAAGACATATGGGAAGTACCTGCAGTTCAACTCAGTCAACTCTCTGCTATTGCTGGCTGATTAGGAAGAAGAAAAAGAAAACAGTTAATGGTAAGAAGTTTTGGTCTTTTACCATCAACTCTGGATCTGTTACAAACAAGACATGTACATGAAGGAGAAGTAATATAAGCAGGTCTTCATGGTCCGTCTGGAAAAACAAAAGGTGTGGTTGGATCTGGCAACCTTTGTTTATATGATTCAGTCAATGAAACTTACAATGCAAACTTTTTTAAACACAGACAAGAAGACTGTCAACATCTCAGAAAGCCTGACCACGGCCCCTTATACATCTATTATATCCTATGGACCGGTTACTCTCCTGCTCCCTTTCATAACAAACAAGCTGTTTACAAAAACGAATTTGTTGCCCATTGTTTTTTTTTTTTTTTCTTTTCTTTTTGTAATTTGTACCCAACTCGAAACTTCAACAAAAATTCATTTGCAGAAGAGAAAAAAATGGTGTCGTTAATGTCTTTCTTGAAGATTGATGAGATGGGTTGGTTCCTTGGTTTGAAGCTTGGATTAGGGTTAAGGTTAAAAAGTATGGATCCGATTTAACTTTTGGTTTGATTAGTGTTGAAGTCTTGATTAATATTGACTTCATTTTTGTATGTATAAATATCACATAAATATGCATTTTATATATGTATGTATATATGCAATTATATATCCATAAACTTATGCATGTGTATAAACATGTATGTGTCTGTCAACACTTTTGAGTTTTAAGGCAAAATTTTATTAAACCATGACTTTTTATATATTATAATGCTAAATCTGAATTTCTTGGCGTTGGGGTCGAATTTACTCTAGTTATGAAAAACTGAGATAGGTTGGTTCTAACTTTAAAAGCTTTTGTTGTATCTCTTTTAAAAATGGTTTTGAAAAAGCTAATTGGACAACATTTAAGGTTAAATATCTTTAAGAGCTTATTTTCCACATTATTTGAGATTACTAACAATTTGCATTACCCTACACATTTTAGTCTTTCTATGATTTGATGATGTGGGAGAAACAATGTGGTATCTTACTGGATGGAATAGCATAGATGCAGAGAGGACAACTCCATTACCACCATGAAGAAGGATTAGAGACCCAGATTTTTTTGTCTTTCTTACAGGAAATTTATACTGTTTATGTTGAGAAACTATGCAGAGGTGGAAATCTATTGGATGGTGCAAGATTACTACATCATCTACGCAATAAGTAGTTATTCTCGAGTGCAAATTCATATAATGCCCTCTTGATGGCTGCAGGTGAAGGGAATGATTTTGAGCTTCTGTTTTTTGTAAATGAAGTAATTTGTATTTTTAAGAACGAATGAGTGAACGGATATAATTTGTATTTTTAAGAAAGAATGAATGAATGAATGGAGAATAATTTTTATTTTATTTTATTTGTATTTGATGTTTTGTTTTTTGTATTTCATTTCAATTTGGATGAATGAATATAAAACAGGTTTTATGAAGCAAATTATAAGCTTATTTAATAATTGAAAATAATTACAGATTATTTAGGTAGGTGTGAAAAATATATATAGTTTTAGTGGCAGTCGCGCTAAAACTATAACTAGCGGCAGTTTTTAAGCTTTACAGGTAATTGGGAAAACTGCCGCTAGAACTTTTAGCGACAATTGTTTTAGCGGCAGTTTTTAAGCTTTACCGGTAATTGGGAAAACTGCCGCTAGAACTTTTAACGACAATTGTTTTAGCGGCAGTTTTCCGACAGCCGATAAAACATTTAGTGGCAGTTTTTAGGATTTTTAGTGGTAGTCAATTTTCTTGTAGTGCCGATACTTTGAACCTTGGTAGACAATAGAAAAAAAAATCAAAGTATGGAGCAAGAATTCCCTAAAGACAGAAATTAAAGAAAGTTAGAGATAAAAGAAAATAGAGAAAACAAAGAAAATAAAGAGATACATATTTAAACATACCTAAACAAAGAAACGAATCATGAAAATAGTTTACTTACATATTTATAAGGAAAATTTTCCTCCCCTATCTGTCGTCGTGATAGGTTCCTAACTTCAAACAAAAAACGTAGCTAACTTCTAACAGCGGGTTTGCTTAACAAGACATCTGTAAAATGAACCCTACAATATAGATAATTTGTATCAAATTTAACTAAGATATTGCTTGATTGTTTCTTTACGCCACTTTATATATACTTGTATAAAATATTGGATGGAAGTTTTCCAGACTGACTTTTACCGAGAAAAGAAAAATCCCTGCCTATTAATTTCAAGTCAAGAACATTATGAAACATCTAATTTACAGTATAGGGATTTATTTCATTAGTTTTGTTGTTGGGAACAATATGAATATGCACCTCATTCCATGTTGGGCCTGAGGCCCAATGAATACACTCTAATCCCAGTTTGATATTGGGTGATTTAATCATGGGTTACAAGTACCATCATAGGCTCTTCAGTCTTCACACATAATCCCTCCCCCTTTGTGGGGTCCAGCCCACTACTCAAGAGATTAATTTCAAAGGCCTCATCATCACATTATCTTCATGATCCAAGATCTGCACCAAGAAAAGGGACAAAGAAAAAGGTTAACACAGCGATGAAAGGGACTTAAAAACATAACCAAAATAATCTAACAACATCTTCAAAGTTGGGCTTTCTCTACAACTACAAACAAACATATATCGCTATCTACAATTCACAAAACTTAATTACTTAAGGCTCAGTTTGGAAAAGGTACAAATATAAATATGGAGAGCGCAAAACTCTGTATTTTGTATTATTTTATACTATGTATATTTGTATTTGTACTCCTTTCAAACTGAGCCTAAGCAGCCGCTTTATTGTTTAAGTGGTTTAACCGATTCTTCTTTTTCATTTTCTTCTCTAATTAGTTAGGTTGGGGTGGTTAACAAGTAGGCCCCTATAGTCTATCCTCTTTACTTTGCATTATTATGTGGGTTCTGGACCAAACAAAACCTGACAGAACGTTACGGAAGGAGGAGCTTTTCTTGACAACTTTCTCACAAGCAACAAAAAGTGCTTTGAATTGCAGTCAAGAAACAAAAAACAAAAAGTTCTTTCAAGTTTTTTCTATCTCATCCTTGATTTTCCTATCCCTCCACTTATGGCTACTGGGCAGTCCACGTTAACCCAAGCTCCTCTGTATTGGGTCTGTTCTTTTCCTCGGGCCCAACAGGCCGGACCCATCAGTCAGTCAGACAGAGTATTATAAGCACCCGATCCAAATGGATAGGTTGGATATTCCCCATACCAATCCGGTTCTAACTTCTAATTCTAAGCACCTAATATAGGACTATAGGAGAGGAAATAGCTTACGTGGCAATGGTAAACGTAGCCAGGCTCCTCTGTAGCATCGAACGGATATGATGCATTTGAATGGATGAGAGAGAATCTGACTAGGATCTTGGTCACGTAACCCGGTCTCATCTTGAACACGTTCTTCCACCCTCTCTCCTGAGCTGGCACGGTGAGTCTCTCGCCACGTGCGTGCTTGCTTAGTTGGCACTTTATTGCATCGTTCTCCTTCTTCATGCAGTCTGTCAACTTATCACGGTCAACCAGCTCCGTCTGTTCCAAAGCAGCAACCAATCCCAGATGAACGTGTAACGGGTGGTTGTCGTCCGTCAGATTGATCACGTTCCAGATCTCGGTTGTCCCCGACCTTGGAAACTCCGTTGCTGGATCATCGTACGACTTCCCGTTCAGATACAGGTGAGTAGGCTCATCCTCTGGCGTTGTGTACTCGTACATCGCGATGTATCGAGTAGTTGAAGCACTTGACACATCGGGATTGGGATACGCTATCAATTTCGCTGGGACACGAGATGTGTCGACTACGCGTTCTCCTGTGATTTCGAACTTCATAACCTTACCGTTGATCTCGTCCGTCGGATCGCCATCAGGGTACGGGTACGGTGCATCATTGGCTAAGATCGCCACATCAGATGTTGATGTAGAGAAATCGATGATCACATGAGCAATCTCGGATGGGGCCAGGAGGAGTTTGTTGGTCGTGACTGGTCGAGATAAGTAAGATGAGTCAGATCCGACATGGATAAATCTCAGACCGTTGCTGAAGAAAAATCGGAAGAACCGGGCGTTGCTGGCGTTGATGATGCGGAATCGGTACTTCCTACGGCGTACCGTCATCCGAGGCCACGCTTTTCCGTTGACGATGATTGCATCGCCGAAGTACTCCGGTTGCCACTGCGGATGTATGGACGGATTGTTTCCGGTGGAATTCATGTAGATGGAACCATCGGTGCGGAAGCTACGATCAAAGACCACCAACGGACGATCAAACTCATCGCCATGGGGAAGTCCAAGCGGGACCTCAACCTCAGGATGACGGACAATGTAGGCCCCGATGAGGCCGGCTAGGAGGTTGACTCTCGTTAATCCCATCGCATGATCATGGTACCACAAGGTGCCCGGATGTTGAGCATTACGGTAGCGATACTTTTTCCTGGTCCAAGTGGGGCCCCTCTCTTTGAATCCAGCGGTGAACCACGAATTAGAGTGCCCATCACTTGAGGGTTCATTAATGCCACCATGTAGATGCACAACCGTGGGAACCCCCTTCTTGGGAATGGCAGCTGGGATGGTGGGATCCCATGGTAAGATATGTTTTGAAGGGAGGTGATTTTTCCACGTCACGGAGGTTTCGACGTTATCAAGGGCCTCGATTGTTGGACCCGGTACAGTAGCGGTCTTCTGGGAAGTTCCATAAGCGAAAACCGTTGTGGGTGGGAGATCTCTATGGAATTTCTGCAAACCAATGACACAAACATTAATTAAAATTTTAAAAGTAATTAATTTTGTATTACTGTGCGCACTCCGACATTGTTATGAGCAGATTCGTGGTTCTCCAGAGACTCGGAGAGTTTCTTTTTTTTTTTTTTTTCTCTCAGAGACTGACAGTGGACCGAGTTATTCAATTCTTCAAATTTGAAATCTTCGATATGGGTTGTGATTTGCGAGTGGTTTCTGATTGAAATATATAGGCAACGATCAACTGGGCAAAATCGTCGACACAAGTTTCATAGGTAGGTAGGTCCGGACGGGAGGACAGTACAAAATGGCAATCAGACGGCAGACGGGCATGCTGGTACTGATGATAGGCAACCAGTCAACCACAAAGATATGTGGCTCAGGTTCCTAGTTCCTACCATAACGTGGGGCCCAGTGATGGGAGATCTGTTATTCATCTCGTTCTCCTCCAGAGTCCTGAGTCCATTTTCGTCAATCAGACGGAATGAAGCCTGCCTGATTCTTGGGAGTTGGAACCAATCTACCAACAAAGTTTATAACAACTCACAAAGCCCATGAATAAAAGGGTACGTAGTTTCATGTAGTGACGCCTGCAAGCATTTAATGGGGATTCACATGTGGCCACATGGTTAAGTGATAAGTCTAACCCATCTGGTTTCTCATGGTGATGGTGGTGTGAAAGAAAACGCAGGGGACACACAGAAAACACCATTTCTGCAACTGCAATCGCAGATTGATACTCAGGAAGGTGAAAAGTTCTGTGAGCTTGCAGAGTTCACTTGAGAATTGTGAACATAATAATATAGTTGAGCGCCTGAGTTGTGAATGTAGAGTAGATTACTAGAAGAAGAACTGAAGAAAGGAAGAAAGAAGAAACAGAAAAACAAGTAGACCCAGAGTTTTAGCTTCAATCAACCGAGGGCTGGCTCGTTGGTGTGTTAGCCGGTTTGTTTCAGGGGAAAATTGTTAATGGTGAATAGCACCGAATACCAAAAAAAAAAAGTTTTAGCTTCAAGAGATGAATAATAGAGATATGTACTCTTACCCATTTCTTCTGGAACATGCCGATTGTTAGCGATTTTGATACTGGTACACCGTTTTTGAAGTCGAAACCTTGAACTCTGGGCATGTCTGGAAGCTCATCCACAAACATTTTCATCCTGGATGGGCTGATTAGTTTTGGATCTGCTCGTGTGGTAGGAACCCATGAGAAGGGTAAAGATATGATAAGGAACAAAAGAGCCTTCATCATCATCTAGTCTTCTTCTTTAGCCTGAAAGAAACAACTAAAGAAGAAGAGGAAGGGGAGAAGGAGGGAGAGAAAGGAAAAGAGCTTTGTGGGGAAAAAGAAAGCGAGGACTGAGGAATGTAATTCAGTTTCTTTTTTTTTTTTTTCAACTTTAGCGCAAGTGAATGGTATTTCTATAATCGATGCTTCGAGTATCTGTAAAGGATGGAGGATGGATGGATGGAGGCTTCGATGAGCATGAGAAGAACCATCCTTTTCTTTTAGTGGGCTTCGATGTTTATAAAAAAGTAAAAGAAAAGTCGAAAGAGGCAAGTGAGAGAAAGAGAAGAAAGGGTGTCATTGTATGATTTCCTTTATCATATCTCATCTCTTTTGTCCGTTTGCTTGCTTGACTGAGTGTTTGTTTACCCTCTTGTGGTGAGTGTTTACTTGTATCTCTCTCAGCTGTCATCTCATCTCTTAGCATTTTTTCACAAAATCTAGCGATTTTTTGGCAGGTAAAACGTTTTACAGACCTTAGAAATTTCAGCCATTTCACAAAAGAAACTGGAAAACTAATTTCATCAACATTTAAATCCATTTGGCCATATATGGGTTCTTTTCAGAACTGGGGACGTATAAATTGGTGGAGATTATTTGGTGAGAGTAGGCACCAATTTGTCAAGGGTCTCCACCTAATCCCACTGGAAATTATCAAAGTCTACATCTCTCTCGAGCACGATCAAGGAAAATGAAAACACTATCGCTACTTTCTAGTAAGGCTATACGTGGCTGCCGTGCTGGAAATGGGCCAATTCTTGGCACGGTGACATATATATCAACCCATTACGACGTTACGACCCGCACCTCTGTCTTTCTTTGTTCTTGTTTCTGGGGCTCAGATCTCTCGGGTTGGGAGTTAGGGATATGTCAACCCAATCAGCATTAATTGGGTAGTCCGGTTGGGTTCGGGAGGACCCCAACCACGTCTTTAATTACAAAACAGCCCAGACAGATATCTTCTTCTTCACGATTAATATTTCTTCATTTTTTCAAATTTTCTGGTTCTCGGCTCACTTGGGGTAGCGTTTGGATATCATTCCAAAGCAGCCAGGAGATAGATGGAATAAACATTTATTCCACAAAATGTTGTTCGTATTTCTTGCTCAGATTCTGTAATTAATTTTCTAGTCCAGACAATAAATGCTAGAATGTTTATAGAAAAGTAGAAAAGCAAATTCAAAGACCTTTTAAGCGTTGAGACTAATATATAAATTGTATTTGTAGAAACATTTAATTTTAGACACGGAGGGGGGTTATAGGCATCCGTGGCTTTTAATCTTTTATACTTTTCAAAAGGTCTATGACTAACACCAAATTTTCTTCTTTAGAAGGAAGGGGTAGAAATGGATCAACTTTTTCTTCCTTTCTTTGGCAAATTGGTCGCATAAAATAAATATATCAGCCAGACCTGGCAATTGGGTTGGGTGGGTCGGGTTCGGGTTCGGGTTGGGTCAATACACTTCGGGCTGATTTTGGATCGGGTTGAACTTCGGGTTGGGTTGCCAAATACTATACCCTAATCCTAAATGTTTGGATTAGGGTTGACCCATGGGTCAATTCGGGTTATCCCAAAAAAAAATTAATTTAAAAAATAAAGATTAAATATCTGAAAAATGTCAAAATTAAAGGAATTAACCTTAAATTTTCAAATATAAAATAATAAAATTTGAACATTTAACAATTCAAAGAGTAAAGGCTAAATAGAAAAAATGAAGAATGGAAACTTCTTCAATGCATAAATAATCCCAATTAGACCTAACAATCGAGTCAACGAGTTGACCCATAACCTTATTTTTTTCGGATTGGGTTGGGTCAGGTTCGCGGGTTGGGTCAACTTTTTGCCAAGTCTAATATCAGCACTTCAAAGTTCAAACCACCAATGAACAAATCGTGAAAGTCAATGGGCACAAAAGTAAATTAATAATTAATTAAATTGTGAAGCAAATTTATCAAACCCCACATTGAAAACATCTCTCGTATTCATAGGGAGATGTTTATGATGTACAACTGTAGTGATGTGTTGGTAAGTGTGAGTAAGATTCTTGTGGGTAAATGTGAATGAGAGTGGACTTTTTGTTTTATTAAAATACCTTAATTTTTTTAATTTGGTTGCTCTCTAATTTAAGGACAAAAATATAATTTAAACAACTACTGTTTTCTTCATTTTTATCTTCTCATTAAGTTTTATATTGAAGATATTAATTCCCATTAACATTCATGAATCCTATTCTTGACTAGAATGCCCCTATTTCTGAATTTGGTCTCTCTCTCTCTCTCTCTCTCTCTCTCTCTCTCTCTCTCTCTCTCTAATTGTCAGAATATAAAATATAATTTGAGCTACTGCATTTCTCCAGATTCAATTCCATCTCATTAAGTTTTACATTTAAGGTATTATATATATACTATCATTAAATGTGTGAATGAGAGTGAAATTTTTTGTTTGACTAAAATACCCCAATTAATGAATTTGGTTGCCCTAATGTTCTATCTATACTACTATAAAAAGTACAAATATGGTGTAAGATTTTTAGAATTTTTTTGGACTAAAATACCCCATTTTTGAAATAGGGCCCCTATCTATTATGAGGGTAGAAAATGTAATTTGAATACTATTATTCATCGTATTCAATTCCCCCTCATTAAATTCCATCTAAGTTATTAACTCTCATTCACCCTCATTTAACCTTACATTTAAGGCATTTTTGTTTCTTTTAATTACTAAATTCCACTAATTAAATCCATACATAAATAATTCTAATAACATAAAAACTTGTACTTTTGAAATAGACTTGGAAAAGCAGTATTTTTATGTAGTGGTAAGGAATTAAAGAACTTTGGGTCAAATAGGCCAACCCATGTTGCATTGTTACCATAGTTTAATAATAAAAAATTAAAATTTGATAAAATACAAAAAATATAGAAATTAAAGAAAATTTTGGGAACATCTTTAATAACATATATTCATCATATTAGACAAGAATAAGTATGATAAATAAGAAATACTTTTATTAATGATGGAAATAGAATATAAAATTTAAAACAAATTGGAAAAAAAAATTATTTTCTTATTCTCTCTTATTAAGTCTCATATCTAAGGTATATTCTCTCATTAAATCCTATATTTAAGGTATATTTTTATCATCATTAAATTCTATTAATTAAATCCATAACAATGATTTTAATAGTATAAAAATAAATAAATTGAAAATAAAACCATTTTCTTCCCTCCCAATGGTGGGCAAGCAATTCAACCATTTGGGTCAAATGGGTTAATTAATAATGCCATAATCAAATAATAAAAAATCAAAATAAATAATATATAAACATATAAGAAAAATGAATAACACATATCTCTAATATTATATATTCATTATACTAAATATTTTTATTAAATGATGAAAATGGAATTACAAATAAAAAATAAACCTTGAAATTAAATTAAATGATGTCATAGTTAAATAATAAAATTTTTAAAATAAAAACAAAAAATAACAAAAAAATTAGAGAACAATTTGGGCACACACACACATATAGATTGATAGCTAGAGATAGCAAGAGACAGATAAAGAGAGATAGCGATAGATAGATAGATAGATAGATAGATAGATAGAGAGAGAGAGAGAGAGAGAGAGATCTATAGATCTATAGATATATATATATATATATATATATATAT